TATTGTGGGAACATCACAGAGTGCACTTACACAAACTTAGATGCTGTAGCCTACAACGCACCCAGGCTGTAAGGTAGAGCCTATTTTTCCTAGGCTATAAACCTCCACAGCATGTGACTATACTGAATACTACAGGCAGTTATGACATAACGGTAACTATTTGTGTATCTAAACATTGCTAAACATGGAAAAGGCACAGAGAAAATGTAGTATAAAAGATTTTTTTTAATTGTACTTTTATATAGGGTTCTTCCCATGAAGGGAGCTTGCAAGACTAAAAGTGAGTCAGGGTACAAATCTATTTTCTTTGTTTGCATTCTTATTCTATAAGCTTTTTCTATTTTTAATTTTTTTAACTTTTATGCCTTTTCATTAAAAATGAAGATGCAAACACATACATTACTCTAGGCCTATACGAGGTCAGGATCATCAATATCACTGTCTTCCACCTCCACATCTTATACCACTGAAGGATCTTCAGGGTCAGTAACACGCATGGAGCTGTCTGTCATCTCTTATGATAGCAATGCCTTCTCTGGAACACTTTTTGAAGGACCTGTCTGAAGCTATTTTGTGGTTAATTTTTTTCATAAGTAAAAAGAGTACACCCTAAACAGTAACCAGTATAGTAGAGTACAAACACCAGTAACGTAGTCATTTATTATCATTCTCAAGTATTATGTACTGCACAGAATTGTGTCTGCTGCATTTTTATAGGACTGGAGGTGCAGCAGGTTTGTTTACACCAGCATCACCAGAAATGCGTGAGCAATGCATTGCACTACAACATTATGATGACTTGATGTCAATAGGTGGTAGGGATTTTTCAGCTCCATTATAACCTTATGGGATCACTGCGGTCTAAGTGGTCCATCATTGACCACAATGTCATTATGTGATGCCTGACTGTGTATAGGAACAGGCAATGTGTGGTGACGCAAGAGAACAGTCATTGTAAGTGACTACGATATAGGAAAGTGAGATGTTTTTATGAGGACCCTATACCCTGATAATATATAGACCATAATTTACAGAGTCCAGAGCCTGAATAAGGAACTTCTTCCTTTTTTTTTAGCTAATAAAATTGGAGAGGAAAATACTGACTATGTGGAACAGGCTATAATTCAAACAGTAAGAACCAACTTCCCAGAGACATGGATGTGGGACCTTGTCAGTGTTGAGTGAGTTTTAACCATTTTCCCTCCTATGTGTATTTCTGTTTTCTTTTTCTTTCTTCACTTTTATTCCTGGATGTATAAAATAGTGCCATATTTGTAAAATATATATCATCGATTCACATGTACTGTTCACACATTTTATTTTTCTCTAGTAATGTTTTCCTTTCACCAAGACTTTCTCTTCTATTCATTTTATGCAGACAGATTTAAGCTGCCCCACTTAAAAAAAATGAGGTGTTTAAAGAAATATGACCTTTCTAGGCCAGGGATGGTGGCTCATGCCTATAATCCCAGCACTTTGGGAGGCTGAGGTGGGTGGATCACCTGAGGTCAGGAATTCAAGACCAGCCTGGCCAACATGGTGAAACTCCGTCTCTACTAAAAATACAAAAATTAGCAGGGCATGGTGGTCTGTGCCTGTAATCCCAGCTATTCGGGAGCCTGGGACAAGAGAATCACTCAAACCTGGGAGGTGCAGGTGGCAGTGAGCTGAGATCGCACCACTGCACTCCAGCCTGGGCAACAGAGAGAGACTCCATCTCAAAAAATAAATAAATAAAAGAAATATGACCTTTCTATACTCAAACTTTACAAAAATTCAGCTCTCTGTTTTTTGTTTTTTGTTTTTTGTTTTTTTGAGACGGAGTTTCACTCTTGTTACCCAGGCTGGAGTGCAATGGCACGATCTCGGCTCACTGCAACTTCTGCCTCCTGGGTTCAGGCAATTCTCCTGCCTCAGCCTCCTGAGTAGCTGGTATTACAGGCACGCACCACCATGCCCAGCTAATTTTTGTATTTTTAGTAGAGACGGGGTTTCACCATGTTGACCAGGATGTTCTCGATCTCTTGACCTCGTGATCCACCCGCCTCGGCCTCCCAAAGTGCTGGGATTACAGGCATGAGCCACCGCGCCCGGCCCAGCTCTCCTTATTTTTATCTAATGTCCCATCCAAACAATATAACTCACTTTGGAGCTTCAGTCAACACTTTTCTGCTCGCTCCATACTTAATTTAAGTTCTTGATTCAGACAAAGAATGTGTTTTACTGATAACGTCTTCTTCTAGTTCCTCAGGCACTGCCACTCTTTCATTCCGCATTCCTGATACGATAACCCAGTGGGAGGCAAATGGCTTTTGTGTGAATGGCGACGTTGGATTTGGTATTTCCTCTACGACCACTCTAGAAGTCTTCCAACCTTTCTTTGTTGAAATTGCCTCACCCTTTTCAGTTGTTCAAAATGAACAATTTGATTTGATTGTCAATGTCTTCAACTACTTGAATACATGTGTAGAGGTGAGTTGTTCTCTTCGATCAGGAGGCAAAAATCTAACAACGTTAAAATGTTTCTTAATATTTCCATATTCTCTTTATGCTCAAATGCAAAATGCTGCTATGAAGGTATAAGACTTAGGTCCATATTCCTCCAACAAAGGCAATTGCTTTCATTCACAGCGACAGTTTATATCTTTTCCTGTCTGTTTCTCTTTCTATTTTCTTTTTCATCTTTCTTCCCCTTTCATCTCTGTCTCTCTTTCTTTATATTTCTTGTTCTTCATCTTCCTTTCTTAATTTTTTTATTATGTAAAGATGGGGTTTCACCATGATGGACAGGCAGGTCTTGAACTCCTGACCTCAGGTGATCCACCCACCTCGGCCTCCCAAAGTGCTGGGATCACAGGCATGAACCACCGTGCCCGCCCTGTTCTTTATCTTCCTTACTCTCTTTCTGTTTTCTTTACTTGTTTCTTTCCATCCCTCCATGTGTGTGTCTTTCTGTGGATTCTGAAAGAGTTTCTTCATTCTGTACCACAAACCTCTGAGACTTTTGCTTTGTTGTTTTTCCTCCTTGTTGGGTAACATGTGTTCACCGTTCTTTTGTTTCGGTACTCTGCGGACGGTCGAAAGTGCGGTGGCGGGTGGGGGGGGTGGGGAACGGAGAAGGGACTCTGACTTTGGCAGGTTTCTAAACAGTGTATTGAGCATGGCGTTTCGTAATGGTGTGTGTTCCAGTGCCATCCTCATTGCTATGATTGTTTTCTTAGATTTCTGTTCAAGTGGAGGAGTCTCAGAATTATGAAGCAAATATTAACACCCTGAAAATCAATGGCAGTGAGATTATCCAAGCTGGAGGGAGGAAAACAAATGTCTGGACTGTTATACCTAAGAAATTAGGTAAGCAGCTACTTGTCTACACCAGTGTCTCATGGAAAACCAGCCCGTATTTACTGTCTCCCTTTGTTTTCCTTAAATTGTCTGTACAAACATGATTTTCTCCCTCACATTTTTTAAATTGTTATTGTAAATCGTCCATTAAAAATTCTAATCTATAGTAATCCAATTTCTGGTGTTAATGCTGTGTACAGCAAAACCACCATTCATTTTTCAAGAGTGTAATGTAATTAAAATGCAATATAAATGCTAACTTGCATGACATATCAGGGTCTACATGTTTGGGATATGCTGTATCCCTAATCAAGGCCATGTTATCATTGATGCCACCTTCATTCTTTGACTTCTCACTGGCTCTTTCCCCTACCATCATGAACCCAGACCACCTTCACAAAAATTGCTGCTCCATCACAATGATCTATTAGGGAATTGTAAGGTTTGAACTTTACTAAATGTGCCATGGGGGTACCACAATCTCTAAATGATTGAATTGAGATCAAAAACTGAGGATATTGTCTTAGTGCATATGCTATCTACAAGATGGAAAAATAAACTTGTCTCCTATTGAAAATACATAGAATGGAAAAAGTTTAAAACTAGTAAACAAGGAATGCTAGATGTGATGTGCATGATACTTTTAATCACTACTTTAAAAAACATTCAAATTTTCTTTATTTAATGTCATATTCATGGTATTATTTTAACAGCAAATACTATATTTATGAATTAGTTCAGTTGCAATGTTGTTCTCAGATTATTTTTCTATTAGATTTGAAGTTTCTCAATATTTCTACTGTACAATGTCTTCAAAATCGTACCTTGGCAACTGAGATAGAATACTGTACAAACTTGTATAGTTTTATGTCATTAAGTCGAAGACACAGTTTTAAGAGTGAAATAGCAAGCTTTCTGAGACAGAGAAACAAAAAGAAAAGCTCCAAAAAATAAAAAACAAGAACAATATATTGGTTATGTATGTTGGTATATAGGCATGTAAATAATAATAACCTTAAAGAATGACTGTTTTCAATCCTCTAATTTTTACAAGCAAGAAAACTGGAGATCAGTTCTAATTATAAAATGTGAAATCTGGAAGTTTAAAAACAATGGCTTCCTTGCTAGGACATTATTTCAATCCAGCACCTGTCTACCATATCATATTTTACTATTTTTGTTTGTTTGATCTTGGGAAAAGTTAGCAACCCTAGTTAGCTGACATTATTTACCTATATTGTCATAAGTAACCTTTATAAACAATCAGTATCAAGGAATTGACTCAGATGACTTTGTAGAATGTTACTTTTCCTAAAACTTCTTAAGTTTTAATTAAGTAAATTTATCATGTAATGTGGTATCTTCCATTTCATCTGTTCCATGATTTTCACGATTCCTTACATTAGGTAAATTTATCATTCCTTGGTTAATGTAAGGAATCATGAAAATCATGGAACAGGTGAAATGGAAGATACCACATTATATCTAGGTAGGAGAAAAAACAAGTTATTTTGGTCTAAGCATTAACTTGATGATAGAACTTGGTTCATCCAATTCAAGACATGGTTCACAGGCTCTAGTCATTTCTCACTACGGTAGGGACCAATGATCAATTTAATTTATATTTGGAAATGTTTTCCAGGTAAAGTGAATATTACCGTAGTTGCTGAGTCCAAACGAAGCAATGCTTGCCCAAATGAAGGAATTGAGCAGCAAAAGCTAAACTGGAAAGATACTGTGGTCAAAAGCTTCTTGGTAGAGGTATGGATGTGCAAACCATCAAGTTTTCCTGAAAAGAAACAGATGACATCTAAGAGGTTCTGTATTAAAAGACATTCTCCACTTAGAGACTTAATTAGTTGACAGCATTTACTTTTGACACAAGACATGCCATTTAAAATGAATTAAAATAGCATAAAGTTCATCCTTTCTTTAGTTAATACCTCACCCAGGATAGTAAAACTTAACACTTGAAACAGGCTTGACAATTTTTGCTTGTTTCTGACTCAGCATGTTTCCTGTACACCTATTTCTCTTCCTTCTCCTTTTCCAATTCTCAAATTCAAGAGACAAATCTACTTGTCCTACACTCCCATGCAGTTTCCATCGTCCTCAACAAGAATCAGCACTTATCAGGGGAGCACTCTGGATTTGGCTCTTGGTCGCTCCCTGCTCCACAAAGCACTTTTAGTTACTTACCGGAGATGCTAGACAGGATCAGAGGAGCTGAGAGTGTCCCACAATGACATCAAGGTTATGCCTGTCCCAGCTACAGAACACAGAGGTTAAAATGGGTGCTGGTGATGTTCCGTAACTTCCAGATAAGAGCAGAAGGGGACTATGAGTAGATCTCTCGGGGATAAACTTGCACCAGCCATCCTTAAGTGAGCTGGTGCTTAATCACTTTCCTTTCATGGACGGAGGACCTTGACTCATTCTCCTGTACTTGTTTGTGTTCCTCTTTGACAGCCTGAAGGTATTGAAAAAGAAAGGACCCAGAGTTTCCTTATCTGTACAGAAGGTAAGAGGATCTTTTAGGAAGTCAAATTAGTCCTAAATAAAATTCACCAAAAGGATGAGTTTATGTCCTCTCCTTCCACATGAGTCCTGTGATTTCACTTTAAATATCTCATGGAGGATTCTTGTATTTCATGCTTTATCTTCACTGGTGTAATTTTAGCCAGGAAAAGGCATATTCAGGAGGTGTTTTTAGTTCACTTTGGATGTTGGTCTGCCCCGACCCATATTATTTTCATCATGTGTATTCTTGGCTCCTCTTATGATATGGTTGTCACACAATATTGGACAATGAAACATTCAGGTTTGGCTCCAATAGCACAATATAATCTTTTGTACTCTTAGGATGAAATAACCTATAGATACATCACTGCCCCTGCTCCTCATCTCTGGTTTTATGGCCATGGGGGATATCATTTTACCTGGGTGATGGTGATCTGATTTTACTCCCTCATCAGAGTCTTCAAGCATTACCTTTTACGTGTGTTGTTTAATGTGTTAGAATCAATGTAGTTTTTACATTTTTTTCATACATAAGTAGTTCAGGCACTAAACCAGTAAAGAATGGGGGCCACAATCTAACACACAAATTTATATGCTGTTTTCTGAATGTACTGTTATCCTAAACTAGGTCAAATCCCCAATTTCATCTCTTCTAATAAACAACCTGCAAAATAAAAATAAGTCAAGGAATCTTATTTCCGAAATGTCTGTCCCTCAAATCTGCTGATATAAAGAAGCCATCACATTTTTTTAAATCAATATTTTCATTCCAGGTACCAAAGCCTCCAAGCAGGGAGTTTTGGACTTGCCAAACAATGTAGTAGAAGGGTCAGCCAGAGGCTTTTTCATTGTTGTGGGTATGTTGATTAAATTTTGTCTTTCACAGTGATTTAAAAGTCTTGGTTGAGGTGGTCTCAAAAAAAATCCTTAAAATAACGGAATAGAGAGATTTTCCTAAACTATCAATTGAAGGGAATTATTGTTCACATCCTCTATGTTTGTTTCCAGATAGGATCTGAAGGGATTACAGTACCATTTCCAGGAAACCCTAGCTCAGGTAGATGGTAACTAGTGTTTAGAAAGGAAGAGGTCCTTTATAATCATTAATCGGATATGAAATTCACATCTCGGAGAATCAGAATACACTTTGACTGTTAATAATGTTGAGAGTTTTCTCAGCAAAAAAATTTTTTATTGTGAAAAAAGGAAAACTTCTTTGTCTGTTATTAACATGAATACCTCTTGGAAGGGATGAATTACACTTTATAATTCATAGGATTGGTTTCTTTAAAAAAATAAAACAAACTAGGCTGGATGCAGTGGCTCACACCTGTAATCCCAGCACGTTGGCAGGCCAGTGGATCACAAGGATAGGAGTTCAAGACCAGCCTGACTAACATGGTGAAACCCTGTCTCCACTAAAAGTATAAAAATTACCTGGGTGTGGTGGTGAGTGCCTGTAATCCCAGCTACTTGGGAGACTGAGACAGGAGAAAGGCTTGAACCTGGGAGGTGGAGGTTGCAGTGAGCCAAGATTGCACCACTACATTCCAGCCTGGGCCACAGAGTGAAACCCTGTCTCAAAAAAGAAAAAAAAAAAAAGCAACTAGCAAATAAGCAAAAAACACATTCCCCTAATTTTCTCCTCTTTCTGGTAATGAGATTTTCAGAAATATTTTTCATAGCATTTCAACTTCACTTTTCATAGCTATCTCCTCTTTCAAATTACTTCATAAAAATTTCTTTGTTTCCGCCTTTTAGACTCAATTTTAAATGTTACCTATTCCACTATGCCTCTTATGTATAGTTATTAATGCTGAGTTGGCAACTGTAAGCAATACGGCTTTCCACTTTTCCTGTTTTTAGGGGACGTTCTAGGACTTGTCATGCGGGATCTGGTGACACTGCAGATGCCCTATGGGAGTGGAGAGCAAAATGCTGTCCTCCTAGCATCTGATGCTTATGTTCTTGACTATCTGAAATCTACTGGGCAACTGACAGAGGAAGTTCAATCCAAGGCTTTCTTTCTCTTATCTAATGGTAAGAAGCTTTAAGTCATTTCTGCCCATAAACCAATTGTTACTTATGCCAAGATGTCATAAGCTGTTTTAATGCAATAGTCTGGTGAAGGGAAAGTCAACCTGAACGGAGGAACTTTCAGTCTAGCTCTGTTTTCCTTTTGACTTCAAAATCTATGTTGTCAGCTAGCTTCATAATTTATAGCTGCAAAATTTTCAAGCTGTTCACTTAATTTTTTTATAATTCCTGGTATTTTGCAAGCTACCTTGTTCATTCTTGTTGTTGTTGTTGTTAAGAGTTGTTGTCAGTGGTTCATCTATCAATGTCTGTATTTGTTTTCTCAGCTGTGGTCAGTTGCAATGAAGTGATTGCCTTTGTATACGGAAAGAGGGCCGTTGTAAAACGTGATGTTACAAAAAAGCTCAGGAGCATAAAATAATGTCCTTTGGTTTTTCTTTTCAGAAAGAGAACACTGAAATATAATGACCTTAGGGGAAATATGCTAAATAATTAGTAGGTACCAATGATGAGACAATTACTGAGCCAGCCATATCCATGTGTATTATCTTGTCATCAAAATCCTATAAAGTAAGAGTTAATTTTCCTCCCTTATGGATACAGAACCTGAGTTTCAGAAATTCAAATGGAAATGATTATCCTAGCGATTTGTGTCTAACACCAAAACCTAGGACTTGAACTGCACTGTTCTTTCTCTTCTCACTTGCTTAGGTTAAAAAATAATTTCTTACAATGTTGTATTTTAGGTTATCAAAGGCAGTTATCTTTCAAAAACTCTGATGGCTCATATAGTATATTTTGGCAGCAGAATCAGAAAGGAAGCATATGGTGAGATATAAATTTTTATTTTATATAATAGAGGAATTATCCGAGGAGGGCTTGCAAAGAGGTGAGGGAGGATTGTGTCCAGTGGGGATTTAGAAGAAAAGTGGGTTTCAAAGTCAATTTATAGAGAAGAAATAGATAAAACTAAAAGACTTGTGATTCTAATTTGAATGCAACAATATACCTTCAATCTCACGACGATTTTCTCAGCAGTCTGATCATTTCATGACAGCCCCTATGCGTGCACAGCTGATGAACTCCACCAAAGAGGGCACATCATACTCTGTGCTTCTCAGAGTCCCACATAGATTCAGGAAAGTGAAATTAGAAGAACCCGAAATACCTACTTACATCAGTTCTCTCTCCATGTATGGCTAAACTAATGGGCTATACAGTAAGACCTTTGGGTGCAAACATGCTGAAAATTACCTACTCTAGTTTCTACTCAATGCTAGTCATAATATTTTCCTGACACAAAGGAAAGAACGACTATTAATAAGGCCTGGTTTACTGTAGATGAGTGGAATGCGCACCTTACCCAAAGAGAGCAATGGTGATGAACCTGTGGAATTGCTGGCATCACTATTTCCTTTTTATCTAACTTTTGCTTTGGTGATTTGCATTGCAGGCTCAGTGCCCTTGTTTTTAAGACATTGGAGAGAATGAAAAAATATGTATTAATTGATGAACATGTTCAAAAACAGACCTTAATCTGGCTTTCAAGCCAACAGAGAAGGAGTGGCTGCTTTAAGAATGATGGCCAGCTTTTCAACCCTGCCTGGGAGGTGAGAGAAGAGCAGTTCCAGGCTTTCCTTGCTCCTGGGTGTTGCCTGCCTTGCCCTGCCTCTGGCCTTCCTGATCTGGAATATGAATATTCTTCCTGTGAATAGGAAGCCTTCTGAGCCACTGTGGTCCTGAGCCTGTGGTGGGTTGGTCAGCGGCACCATTCCTGCTGCGTGCGTGTTTAACCACAGCCTGGATGTGACTTCTTCTGGGTCTCTTGACTGCCTTACTCAGTCTCTATTCCTTCCCGAGTCAGTGCTCTTCAGAAACTAAACTAGAAATAGAAGGGTGGGGGAGAGAAAGGGAACCTAGAAAAGAAGCTTGCATAAATGTGGAGACAGGCAATATATAAAGTGAGGGGGCTGTGAGTATATGGAAGGAAAGTTCATTCCTGTCCATGGATGGCAAGAAAGTTCTGGGGAAAATATCTAATAATTCACATTGTTTCAATGAAGCAAGTTTTTCTAAGACCCTCTCAAGGAAAAATTCAAGGGCCAAGCTTGCCCCGGAGCCAAAGTACAAGAGAGGTGAAGTACATCCTTGGCAGAATCCAACCCTTTTTCCATATTTAGGTAAATCCCTCCCTTCCAACTTTCTTTCTTTGCAGATAGCTGTCCACCTCCA